TAATAGTAAATCCCCCCCGACTCTAACAAAGATTTCATTTTATCTGATTTTTTTCTTATTCTGAATTTTACTCTCATATTATTACTATGTTATTCTTGTCATTTAAAAAAACGTCTCATTTTGCTCCTAATTCTCTGCTGGAAAAGTGTGTAGAAATAAAATATGTCAGAAACAACATTGCAAAAAAAACACTCTATTTTTACTTGAGATAAAAACCAGTTTAGATAAATAATTAAGAGCTCAGCATCTCATCATCATGCAGCTGTTAGATGTTTCCATCTTCCCACTCAGAAGCAGCGCCTCTGCTAATCCCTGAAAAGCACTTTGGAAAAGGCGTTGGGAGGAATCTGGGATTTACCGGTTGCTCTCTCCGTCCTTCATCAGGTACAGCTGGTGCTTCTGGGACTGCAGTTTGGAGGCACTTGTTATAGGTGCTGGGAGCTGCTGTGCCTGTGGAGGAGAGAAGAACCGACGTCATTAGATCAAACAGAAGGAATCAGTTGGGCATAATTTACCCACTGATTCTGAAAATGACTGAAACAGAAAGTTTAACCGACCTTTGCTCAAAGCCAACCTGTTCTATCACAGAGGATTCAAACACAGACGTGGAGCACAGAACATTTTACACTGTTTATTATTGAATCGCAGCAGAACATAATGGTGAGACGATCAAAGACAAAAACATCACCATCCCATCTGTTACTGGAAGCTCTGAAAAACTCAAGAGGATTTTCTCCAAACACTAAATCTCAGAACATTTCAAACCAAACAGACCCTTAAACAGAGACTAGTTCGTCCTAAAGACGTGGTGGATGCAGTTCAATGCAGGGAGGAATGATCTGATCTTTATATTGGAGAAACCAAACAACCTCTCCACAGACGCATGGCCTAACGCAGAAGAGCGCCCTCCTCTGGACAAGACTATGCAGTCCATCTGCACCTTACGGACAAAGAAGACAGGTGGTTTGAGAGGGGCGTGAAGGGAGCACCTATGTTAAAGGAATAGTACACCCAAAACATGATTAGCCTTCATTTTCTACTCACCCCCATGCTGAACAA